GCCTTATCGCTGCCTCTCCCGACTCCAACCAGGCCCATCATCCTAGATAGCTTTGCTCCTGTTTCTTTGCCTGAGTTAACCAAACTAGTTAACTCTATGAAGACCTCTGCATGTCCCCTCGACATCTTACCCTCATCTTTGTTTAAAAGTGCTTTTCAGTCCATCAGTTCCAGCGTGCTCTCTATAATTAATGCTTCTCTGGTTTCTGGTCAGGTTCCTGCTTACTTTAAGAACGCTGTAATCCACCCGCTTCTTAAAAAACCGAGTCTTGATCCCTCTCTCCATAGCAGCTTCAGACCCATCTCTAAACTTCCGTTCATCTCCAATATCTTGGAAAAGGTTGTGACTAAACAACTCACAGATACTCTTGATGAACATAACATCTATGATAGCTTCCAGTCAGGTTTTCGTAGAGCTCATTCTACTGAAACAGCTCTTCTTAGGGTCTCTAATGAACTTCTGACTCACAGTGATGCAGGGGACTGTTCTGTTCTGGTCCTGCTGGACCTGACTGCAGCCTTTGACACTGTTGACCATCACCTGCTACTAGAGAAGCTGAGAGACTGGGTAGGCCTATCAGGATCTGCTCTGGAGTGGTTCTCCTCTTATCTTTCTGAGCGCTCCTTTTATGTGGCCGTCTCCAAGTTTAGGTCCTCCACCACCTCTCTTACCCATGGTGTCCCACAAGGTTATGTGCTGGGGCCTCTGCTCTTTCTCTGCTATCTGCTTCCTCTTCAGCACATCCTGAGCTCGTTCAAATGAATCTCCTACCATCTTTATGCAGATGACATCCAACTGTGCATCTCCTTTAAGCCCCATGAGATGTCTAAGCTGCAGCTGTTACACACCTGCTTAGACTCTATCAAAACCTGGATGGCTGGGAGCTTTCTTCAGCTGAATGAAGATAAGACTGAGATCCTCATCTGTGCCCCAGACAAGCTGGTTCCCAAAGTCAGAGACTCTGTTGGTCAGCTTACTTCTCACACCAAACCATCCGTCAGGAATCTTGGCGTGACCTTTGACCCAGCTCTCACCCTGGATTCTCATGTCAGTTCTCTTGTTCGCTCTTCCTTCTTCCATCTCAGGAACATTGCCAAGCTGAGTCCCATTCTGTCTCGCTCTGAACTTGAGACAGTTCTCCACACCTTCATCTCCTCACGCTTAGACTACTGTAACTCTCTTTTCACGTGTCTGAGCAGAACCTCCCTGAACCGTCTACAGGTGGTTCAGAATGCCTGTGCTCGGCTTCTGTGCAAGTCCTCCAAACACATCCACATCACCCCACTTCTCCTCCAGCTTCACCGGCTGCCAGTCAACTTCAGGGTTCATTTCAAGATCCTGGTTCTGGTCTATAGGGCCTTACATGGACAAGCACCATCTTAGATTGGTGATCTTCTTAGTCCCTACATCCCCAGCAGGTCCCTGAGGTCCAGTGATCAAAGCCTACTGGTTGTGCAACGCACCAGGCTAAAGACCAAAGGTGACAAATAATTTGCTGCTGTAGCCCCCAGACTCTGGAACTCTCTCCCCCTGAGCCTGAGATCAGTGGACTCAGTGGTCTCCTTCAAAAAGCAGCTGAAGACTCACTTGTTCAAGCTGGCTTTTGTATGACCTTCTTCACCACTCTCTCTTTATTCTGCTTTCCCCACCAATTCCACTTTCCTCAGGATCCACTGATTTCCCTCTTTCCTATTCACTCTCTCTCTTTCTTAACATTTTTTAATCACAATTGTCTATTTTTGCTCATTTTAAATATATTTTTAAACATTTTCTAAATGCTTTTTTATATTTTTACATTTTTTGTTTTTGTGAAGTGCCTCGTGATTTTTATCTTGAGAGGCGCTACAGAAATGATATTTTCTTCTTATTCTTCTTCTTGTTCTACAATGTCCTATCTATGAGAGTAATATATATTACATAAAAAAAATTTTTGCTCAGAAAAAATGATTGGTAAATCGCCAATGGTTGAATTTGTCAAATCGCCCAACTTTTGTGCGGTTCCACGAATATTTTAGACTAGGCGATCCATCGGCCCAGATTTCGGGTTTTTGTCAAGATTGGTGATCGGCCAAAAATTGCATTTGGTGCACCCCTAGTTAAGGTTAAAGCAAATCACTGCTATAAAATCATTTTTTGGACAAGTCTGTCAAAACGGGTACAAAGGTTTTGTTTTCAAAATTAGAAAAATGAAAGTCTAAAGGAACAAATATGATTTTGAATGTTCACTTATATTTGAGAACATTACCTCATGTCCAATTAAAACTGGTATTGTTTCATGAGTATTCATTTTGGTTTACTCAATAAAAGGAAATTGAAACATTGACGTAATCTGCTTTTAGTTAAGACAAAATCAGCATCGGCAAAAATTGGTATCTGCAAGTCAGGTTTTTCTCAAGATCGGTGATCGGTCAACAACTGCAGTCGGTGCACACGTAGCACCCCTATTTTGGACCTGACTCATTAAACCATGGACAACTCTTATGAATGATTGGAGATATTTTTGAGACAAATGTGTCGTAAACAGTCTGATGAAATGACTGTGTCGCTGGTTCAAGGGCCAGGAAGATTATACGTTATTCAGTCAGTTCCATGGTACCCAACGTTATGTCATTCACAACATTTCATGTGAATACAAATGTATTATTAAAGTACTTTGAGAAAAACAGAGAAAACCTTAGCTTGGATTTCTAATTACAACCAGCTGTGATCTGAGTTTACCTGAACCACAAGATTACTTATCTAGTCCTTGGAGACAAGACGTGTCACCAGGTGGGAGAACAATTTTCTTCTCTTTGTTGTACAGCAGATTATCTCTGACTAAGCAACTTCACTCTGTCTCTGGTGAGGACAAAAGCATGATTCAAGCACTTAATGTGAGTCAGAGCACAGTGCCGCATCTGATGCCTCTCTGAGTCTAACCAAAGCAGTAGGACGCTCTACGTTGTCCCAGAGGAATCCTTTAATGTAAACATATCACTGTGGGTTTGTATCGTCTCGTCAAAATGAAATTGTTCCAACTGAAACTTCTTGAGATGAAAAGGAGTCCCTGGTCTGAATGATGTTCCGCTTGTCAGTGTGCGTTTGTGACACTGAGGGGAGAAAATTATGCAATATTCAGTGAAATTTTTCTAACTCACTGACACTTTAAAAAAGAACAGGAAAAATAGATTAAAACTCCCCCATCTGGCTTTTATGTATGAAAGCAAATGATAAAAATAACCCCTGAGCCAGAACAGCAGCACAGGGCATCGCAAAAATAGTTTTAAAAATGTTTAAAATAAACAGAAACTCATATTTTAAATGGAGTCAGTTTTAATTAAACTGTTTTTGAGCAATCTGATGGAAGAAAAAGGAAGAGCAACGAGAGAGAAGCAGCGTTTGTGCTAATTAGGTCATGAAGCCATCAGTGAAACTAGCATCCTAAAGGGTAAAAGACAGACTGGAGATTACAGGGCAGCAGCAGCAGGATGAACTCCAACCACTCCTGTGATTTAGAGCAAATACTCACCTCTGTCTCCATGATTACGCTGTATAAACCCAGGTAGACAAACACATCCATTCACACCATCATAACGGGAGCAGAGGGAGAAAACACCAACTCTGACAACCTGCTACTCTAAACACACCTCGTTTCAACATCTGGAACCTCTGATCAGCACTTTCACCCCAAACATCAGGGATCTAGCTGCCAGTGAAAGCATAATGGAGACAGGTGTTAGCATCTCACGTTACAGCTACATCAGCTAACAAGGGAACGTCCACATGTGGAGACTTATGTCCTGCAAAGACACACTGAGATGTCAGGAAGCTGGGAGGAATCAGAATATCTACACGTATTCACACAGCAGGGAAACATGACAGGATCACAGCATCCGTCACCCGGAGCATCTCGGGTTGATTCTGTTTCCAGTTTCTTTCATTCATCTCATCTAAAAGCCAAATTGTCTCCAGCTGTTCGGTCACACGGGTTCCACCAACTGGTTTACAAGATTTTCACAGATTTACAAACAAGAAGTAACAGTGTGATATGAAGAGATGCAAAGCCTGGGTGGAGAATAATAACAGCCAGTTGTAAAGGCGGGCCATGTGGGACCCGGGGAATGCTCCAAAGTATCACAGTCATGCTAATATGAAAATTACGCTTTTTAATTACATTGTGAATTGTGGCGTACAGCAGAGAGCTGGAATGAAAATGACTGAGCAGCGGTGGGTGTTAATGGCAGACAGAGACAACATTGTCCTGGTCACATAAAGAGAGTAGTGAAGCAGCTCGACCCACAGTCCGCCTGATGGGTCATGAAGGAAGTCCCTCCAACTTCAGCCCTCCTTCTGTCATGTGAGCCGCAGAATTTTTCACTGGACAGCATGTGTGTGTGTGTGTGTGTGTGTGTGTGTGTGTGTGTGTGTGTGTGTGTGTGTGTGTGTGTGTGTGTGTGTTTGTTCAGTTAAAGCACCATTAATCCTGCCAGACTGGACCCTGTAACCCTTAACCGTGTTGAGCTCAAGCATCATGGGAGCTTATCTGAGGCCCCTGAAAACACAAACATCTGGATGAGGCTCCACTGATCTCTAGATGTTGAATCTCTGGCTTTAACAGGGTTCCCACTGAAAACCAGAAACGTGTTATTGTGTTTTATTGAATCGTTAATTATATTAAAAACGATATTTTTGCTTGAATTTAATCAAATTCCATAAGAAAAACAAGCGCAGGAGAACCCCAACAAAATGTCGTTTATTCCTATAAGACGAGGCAGTATGAAGGTAAACAGCGATTAATTCAATTCAATTCAAATATACTTTATTAATGCCAGAGGGAAATTGATTATTATTGTTACAAAGACCTTGTTGTTGTTGATTAAACATCTGCACAATCCTATGAGCTCCGGTGAGCCTCTGATGGCTCATTGTTTTGGTTTCGTGAGCTAATGCCACCCAACGTCAACAGAAGCTGGTTTCTTTATTATAAAGACCTTCGTTAGAAGAAACATGTCTGCTCCTACCTCTACACTGAACGGCTGCTCCTCTCCGTTCACGGCGCATAAAATCCACAGCAACAGCTGCAAGCATAACGTCCCCATACAGCAGCTATGAAAACATCTCCTGCGAAGCGCCGATATAACCATAATGTCTCTCTGCTGGCGAACGGATAACGGGAACAAATCCTACACGTTTAGCAGCAACATCGCTGAAGATGTCCCCGAGGCTCTCTCTCCCTCTCTCTTTCTGCGGGCGGAAGGAGGTGATGATGTTGAGGGGGAAACAGCAGGAAGAGGAGAAGCGGATTCGTCGCGCGCTCTCCTCTTCGGCCACGGTTTTCAGGAGGAGGTCGTTGGATAGGAGCCCCCCGGGGAGAGAGAGTCGCTGTTAGCGCCAGTCAGCCTCCCGGTACAGTAGTCTCCCGGTCGGTCCTCCGATACGAACGCAGCGGCCGATCTTCCAAGAGAACTCGTCCAGCTCCGTCTCTGCAGCCGCGCGGCATAGCTGTCCGTTTTCAATCGCGTTTCCCATTTAATGCGCATGCGTGGACTGCTTACCCCCCCACCCTTCCCCATCTCTCTCTCTCTCTCTCTCTCTCTCTCTCTCTCTCTCTCTCTCTCTCTCTCTCTCTCTCTCTCTCTCTCTCTCTCTCTCTCTCTCTCTCTCAGCCTCCAATAAAAACAAACCCAGCTGATTAATCCAACAGAAGATGGAGTTGCGGTATTTTATTCTATTGTTCTTCCTTTTCTGTAAAGGAACACATTATTTTTCTAAATCTTAAAAATATGACAGAATGTTGTTAGTAATCACATGTTTAACACAAAATGATATAGGTTATAAAAATGTCATAAATCTGAGATTTTGTGTAGATCTTCATTTTTTTCCTTAACCAAACATCGTGCTCCCGTTTTTGAGTGTGTATGTGTTATTATGTATTTTGAATGTGTTATAACACATGAAAGCCAGTAGAGGGCGATGAGCTGCCCCTGTTCTTATTTAACATCATCACAGTAAGTGAGTGTAACAGGAGGTGCTCAGGATCACAGCACAACGCTTCAATAAAAGAGGATCTGTTGTTTCTGCAGGGAAAATGTATGTTCAAAGTTTGAAAGAGCTGCTTTTGCAGAAAACTCCCTCTCATCAGTTGTTTTTAATCATGTAGATCCTGCATATCTGTCATGTTCTGCGTCCTGCGTCCTCCTTATGTGTCTCCTATTTGGCGTCCCTGTGCTCCTGTCTTGTTCTGTGTCCCTCTGGTCCCAAGCCCCCTCCTGTCCTCTCTCTAGGCTTCCCTCAGGTGTCCTCCTATCACTCCCTGATATTAGTCCTCCTCATCCATCCAGTTATTAGCTGTTTATGCTTGCCCTCTGTCTTTAGGTTTAGTTTATCTGTGTTTTATAGGTTCAGGTTTGTCTGCCTTCCTGCTTGTTCTTTCCCCTTATTTAGGTATTTGTATGCACCTGCCTTGCCTCCAGATTTCCCTCCTCATACCTGTCACCTGTTCCCCTGATCACCTCCTCTGTGTTTAAAACCCTGTCTCGTCCTTCAGTGTTTGTCAGTCCATTGTTTTGTGTCTACGTTGTTCTGTCTTCTCCAGAGTTTTGCCCGTGTCCGCGCTCAGTTTTTGAGCTTCTGTTTTGTATTTTTTGACCACTGGTTTAGGGCTGCAACAACGAATCGATAAATTCGATGAAAATCGATTACTAAAAGCATTGCCAACGAATTACGTCATCGATTCGTTGTGTCGCACAACTCTTCCAAACACCCCCCCACCCCCCACCCCCCTTCCCGCCCGCCTTTGCCAGAGCAAGTCAGATCAGCGCGAGGGAGAGCCGCAGATCAGCGCGAGGGAGAGCGCTGCTGCGAACCGGTTCCGCCCAAGGCCGGATTAACTGGGCAATTGCCCAGGTGTCATTTTGCGTCATTTTAACAACCACGCCCCTCCGCCGCGCCTCCGCACGGCCCAGAATTTCCGCAACGCGCACCTCGGAAAATTTCTAACCACGCGGACGGTCGGACGCGGAAAAACATGGCGGACCGGCAAGAACTAGTATGGCAGAGGTTCGTAAATACAGACATTTGTATGATTCAGCTCTCAGAGATCACCGTGATCAACATGTTGTTAATAATTCTTGGAGAGAAATAGCTCGCACTGTCGGAAAAGACGAGGACGCTGTTAAAAATGCTGAAATGCCACGTTGTAAACAGTAATTTCTACTTCTACTATGGTGTAGTGTTGGATGCATGTCATAGAGCTCCATGCTGCCCCGTTCAGTTTGGGAGAATGTTGGCTCACCGCAGAGACGAGCCGCACGAACCATAAAATGCTGCGAGTTGTGAAGCGCGTTCCAGCCGCGAGCCGCATCACCGCGCGGAAAGTGAATGCGTCAAGCATAAACCAAGCTTAAGGGGCCCAGGGCAGCAAGGGCACAAGCAAAATACTGTAGGCATATCTGTAATCTCCCGCATTATATTAAACTAGGGTGACCGTATGTCCGGTTTTCCCTGGACATGTCCACTTTTCACTCTCTGTCCGGGCGTCCGGACTGCGGGTTCTTGTATTGATGAAAATGTCCGGCTTTTCATCCAGGAGCAGGGATCGAACTATGGGGGAGCTGGATATCCTACACATCCAGGGGAGCCGGAAAAAGTTTTCTATATTGTAAAGAAAATTTTGGCTGGTTCAGCCATATTGTAAGGAGAAACTGTCTTTACTCAGTTATATTGTTAAGAAGACTCAAAGGTTGTTTTCATCGATAAACTGACGATAATATCTGTGTGTCTGTGTTTCAGTTCAATGAGGGAACCAGTTTGACAATTAAAAGTTTTAATTCTTCAAATTAAACTAATGATTTTGAAATTGACAAACAGGAAATAACAATCAACATTGGCAACTTGTGGGACAATCTTTAACAGTTGATATGCTGTTCTTGCTCAAATAGACCTTCTGTCGGCGAATGAAGATTGAGAGTGATATGATGTGATTATGGATGCATGTGTGTGCAAAGTGTAGTGAGAATTGAACATGAGGTGAGATGGATGCGTGTGTGTATCTGATTTTGCTTCAGGAAGAACAGGTGTCTGAGTGAAGTGATGGTTTGGATAAACTTAGGTCTTATCAGAGAACTGCATCAAACGCTAAACACCGTGCTCTGTCTCACCGAACTCTTGTGAACCCTCTTTCGGATCCGGGCCGTGGAGGATGTTGTGGTTCATCCAGATGACACCGGCGGCTGACAGGGGAGACGTAGGTGTCGAACAGAACCGGTCCAGAGTTGCCCTCGGTACACGTGGATGGTAAAGCGTTTTGTCGATGCGCTTTCTTAAGTTAATTCACTCAGAAATCAAAAGACTCGGTAATGAGTCTGCGTTAGAAGTCGCGATTCAGCTATTCTGTCTGGCTGACAGGAACAGCGTGAAAGGGGGGGAAGAAACGAGCCAACCGGCTCTGCCCCCCCTTTGGCTCTCAGGTCCTCTCTCTTTCGTAGTCAAACACGAACTGAAATCATAAGACTGAAACTTACCAAAAACCTTTCTCTTCTCAAAGCAAACGTGTGCGTCAGCAAATGTGTTTTGGAGTTTGCTGTGAGCAGATGTGTGTGGGTGTGTGTTGTGGAGTGTGTGTGAAGGTCAGCAACAAACATCCTCAACATTATCATTTAATGAAGAATGGATTAATTAAATCTCTTATAATTACCCAAAGCATAAGAATCCTTCATTTGATTAAACACATTTATAATGAGCAAAATGATAATGGTTACTTTAACATTAAAATCAAGAAACAAAGTTTTAAGACTTGTTATGTTATGACTACTTTTATGGGAACAACATCTTCTGTGGGAACAACATCTTCTGGCACGAAGCTGCAGGTGGCAGATGTTATGGTTTCCTCCCAGACTCTCTGGCGTTCAGGTCTTAATCTGTGGGTGAAAGTTCTCAGCGACCCAGCTTTGACCCAGCTGAGTCCAACACCAGAAAACCCATATTTCCTCACGTTACAATATTATATCATTTTTGGACTCTTTTGAGCAGAGAGCAGCACAGCGCATTGTTGCGCAGCGATTTCCAGGCAGCTGCTTCCAGCGCACGGTCCATTCTCAAAGTAGCGCAACCAAAAAACTATAATTAGCACACGATCGTTCATGTCTGCACGTGTTCTCTATTTTCTGTTTTATTTGTGCCTGAAGCGCGCTACTGCGGAGCTCATCACCTGTGCTGTGATGATGTCACCTCACGCAGCATCGAAAACGCGCTCTGCGCTTTGCGGTCAGGAGATCCCTTTGATCTACTCAAAAGTAACTGATGAGGTGAAAAGGTAAGAATCCAGGCAACAGATTTTCTGGAGAATTATGAGGAGATGCAGGAAGATGAGAGACAGACAGGACAGGAAAATAGTTAAATAAAAACAAGAAAACAAAACAAAGTGTTAAAAAGTAAAATGTAGGTAGATTTATCACCACTACACGTTTTTACCAGTAAAAAACAATAAGTTACACACATGCAATATTTATACATCTGATACAATTCAGATCACCTTCAAAACTCAGTCACACACCCAGGGCCGTTTCAAGACATTTTGGGGGCCAAGGCAAAACTAAATTATCAGACATGCTGTCTCATCTGCTTCTTTTCTAAACTTGCAAAAAGTAACAAAACTTGAAAGCCACTATTTGTGGATTCTCTGAAAGTTTCCATGGAGTGTGTGACAACTTATTTTTTCATTGATCCTATCGTCTAATCTCATAGCTGAAACAAGCATCCTTAATAATCTGTGCACAGGAAGCTTACCGATGCTGTAGTAAAACAAAATGTATAATAATTTATTATTAATAAAACCTTGTTGCAGCACTAAAGCAGAAAAATGAGATTTTGCATTGAATATGCAAAATATTTACATATGAATTGTTTTAGAGTCCTTTTATTGGCAGAATCTGATATTAATTTAATTCTTACAAAAAAATGTGTCCCAACATGGTTTGTGTGGTGTTGCCATAGTGTGATGTCATAGGCAAAGATTCCCTGTCCTCTTGTTTGGAAATGGAAATATGGTCACCCTATATTAAACAAACTGTCCACCCGGGCTCTTGCGCTGCACAGAGATGCTTCGCTGCCTATGACTGAACGTCAGTTGAGAGTCAGTCTCATGCAGACTGACCAATGAAGAGAGGGCCTCAAGTTAAGACCCTCTCCTCATTGGTCAGTCCACACGAGGTGGGTTAAAGGTTACTCTGGGCGGGTTACGTGTTGTCAGGCATTCAAGTATTGAGTATATTTACTGCATATTACAGTAAAATATTCTGTATGTGACCATATTATGGTGATCCTTGGGTCGTGATGATGGAGCCCTTGAATATTGTTGCCCAGGGTACAACAAAGTGTTAATCTGGTCCTGGTTCCGCCGTCACATTCCCGCAGAAACTGGTTGATCACACCGGGGCCAGACTACTAACATGTGGTTTTACAACCACAATGTCCTCGGAAGCAAAAACGCTTTTAAAAGGGAGGGAGGAGTCCTAACTGTTGCTGCAGGCGTGTTGTG